CTGGGTTCCTGGCCCAGACTCCCGTAACCTGCCACCAGAAATGGATCACACCCTACTCCCAAATTATCCGGAAAACCTAATTGAGGCCGAGTCTGCAAATCCTCCTGCCCCTGCAAGCCCTCACCCAGCCCGAGCGCACCCGTCAGTACCAGGGACAGCGAACCAGGACCTTTTTTTTGGCGGGTCTAGCCCGCTTCTCTCTGAATCCTTCGGACGTCTCCGTGGAGACCAGGGTCAGAGACGCCAGCGCTCCAATGGAGCCAGGCCTCCTTGGGCCAATGAAATAGTGAATGGGGCGCTTAGCTATGTGGTTAAGAAGGCAATGGGGACCAAAGAGGAATTTCAGGCCAAATAGCTTATTTTTCTTCTTTCAACCCCAAAGAATGGCTCCTATCTTCCGGGCTGCCTGTGTACTAGCCTCCCTGGGGATAAAGGGCCAGGGCTGAATCTCAAACAGGATTGGACCTCCCAAAGCTGCCCTGGGTGGGCGTGTGACTGAAACGGCCTTGGAAGCAGCCCTATGGGTGGGCGGAAGCGTATGGGGCTAAGTTTGGCATTCAGGCCCCACCTGAGAGTGGTGAAGACAGACTTAGGCCTGACTGGACTCTTGACAGGATGAATGTCAGGGAGAGATGGAGGAGGAAGAGAAAAGCAGCAACAACAAGTAGCTGGTGCTGCCTCAATGAGCCACTCTGTAAAAGGGGAACAGCTTCTGACGTCCTCATCACTTATTCCCTAAATGGCCTGGGTATTAATGAGTAGGTAGGTCAGAAAAGACGAAGGCGGGGGTTGGGGGGGACAGGGGAGCAGGAATTCAGCTTCACCACCAGGCCCCATTCTGTGGCTCCCTCACTTTACTCTCTGTAAAATGGAAGCCATTGTGGGGAGGAGGAAGACAGTAGCAGTTCTCAGGGACTCGACCTTCCGCACTAGACCCATGGGGGGCCTCCTGCCCTGCCTGTGACAGTTCCACTCCCGCTCCCTCCCTCCCAGGGCCCAAAAAAAGGCTGGCGCAAAAACATCTGCAGGCGCTTCCAGCGCTTTATAGTTCTCTCCCGGACAGAAGGACAGACAGACAATGCGGCCCGCACCGTCGGCCCGCATCATTGGCACCTTGGACACGGCACCAGGCCCAACCCAGTCCCTGGTACCCTCCCGGGAGAATCCTGGTCCGGCCTCAGATCAGCACCTCAGACAGCTCCCGGCCCAACCCGCCCCTCCCCCCCCCTCCGGAAACAACCAAATAAATTAAAAGGAGTGGGGGTGGAGGGGGAAACAAAAACACCTAAGGATAAGGAAGAGGGGTGCCCCTCCCTCAGAGTAAGAAGAGTTTTCTGTCTCCTCCCACCCTTCGGCTGAGGCGCCGCCGCCGCCAGGGTGACCTCCTAGGTTCATTTTTTCCCCAAACCTCAGTCTCCTGAAGCTGGCATCCCCCTCCCACCATCTCCCGGCATGCAACACGTTGGAAAAGGTAGGGAGAGGTGGTTGGGGGTGGGGCGAAGGACCATCCTGGTGGTTGTCTGGGCTCCTGGGGCTGCAGTTTCTCGCAGTACCTCAGCCGATCCAAATTAAGAACTAATATTCCCTTTGGTCTGGGGAAGAGAGTACGGGGGCTCAGTTGGAGGAAGAAATGCAAGCTAACACAGGCGGAGGGGGGAAGGTAGACAGGAGGGAAGATGGTGACACATGCCAGGAGCGAGGAAAAAGAAAAGAAGGGGAGATGGGGCCACAGGTGCAGAAAGATAAACGGGGCAATGAGAGATAGGTAGGGGGTAAGATGGAGACGGAAATACACACCCAAAGAATGGAAAATGGAAAGGCAAGGCGGAAGTTGGGAAGGCAGAAGGTGAAGGAAGGAGGGAAGGTGAAAATACAGGAAGGAGATGAAGAAATGGACAAATCCGAGGGAGATGGACTTACAGACACACAGAGAAGGGAAGGGGGAGACCCGGGTAGAATTGGAGAGATGGGGGCGCAGACAGACAGAAAGTGTGAGGTTGGGGGTTTCCCTCCCGCGCTCATCCCCCACCCCCACCCTGCGGCCAGCAAATCCAGACGCCGCGGCCTCTGGCATCCTGGCCTCCACCTTCCCCTTTGGGACAGGGGCGGCTCCTCCTCCGGCCACGGCGCGGAGCGGTGGTAACAGCGGCGGCGTCTTGATGGTCCCGGGGGCTCCGAGTGTGTGTCAGGGGTTGGGGCGGGGGGGGGGGCGCAGCCCTTGGGTATCCCTAGCGGTCCAGGTGCATAGTCCAGTGCTTGGCTCCAGTCGCGCAGCTGTCCCTGGCGGCCGAGGAGGAGGAGGCCGCGGGCGCTCCCCCGCTGGGAGGACCCCCGGCGCCGGCAGCGGCCTCGCCCTCGTTCTTGAGGTCTTGGAAGACCTGCGTGAAGAAGTGGGGGTCGGCGTTGAGCCGCAGCATCTGCGGACTGAGCCGCTGGATGAGGCGCAGGCAGCGTTGCCAGAAGCGCTCCTTGTCGGGCTCCACGAGGAAGGGCTTGAGCGGGTACGAGATCTCGTTGCCCATGTAGGAGTAGGCGAGGTAGAGGCAGGTGAGGAAGGCAGCCTGCAGCTCGGCGGCCGACGCCAGCTCATCCCCGCGCAGCGACTCGCGGCACAGCAGGTACACGAACACCAGGTTGGCGGGCGTAATGAAGGCCTGGTCTTGCCAGCCCTGCAGCAGCAGCGAGCGGTCCACTCCGCGGAACCAGCCCACCAGCTCGCCTGGGCTTAGCTCCTTGAGACGGTAGCAGCGTCGGCACACGAAGTCGCCCAGGCAGCGCAGCAGCTCTCCAGTAGACGCCTGCACGATGACCCGCCGCGGCGAGCCGCCAGGTACCGGCGGCGCCGCCTGCGGGGCTGGGGGCGGCGGCGGCGGCGGTTTCCCTCCGCCGGAGCCTGGAGGTGGGGCGACGGCGCTGCCCCCCGACGGCGGCTCGCAGGTGGCGGCGGCCGCGGGCACGGTGGGCACGGGCACCGCCAGGGGCTTGGCGGCGCCGCCGCCGTCGGGGGGGTCCCGACCCTTGCGGAGAAGGTTCTCGCGGTTGCGTTGCTGGACCAGGGAGTCGGCGCCGGTGGACGCCGGCTTGGGCGTCACCTTCTTGCTGCCTTTCTTCTTCTTGGCAGACGCGGCCACCAGACGCTTCCAGGTGAGCGCCGAGATGAGCACGGACGGCCGCTTGAGCCGGCTCTCGCCTTTACTGCCCTTGCCTACTGGCGGCGCCCCGTATCCCCCCAGCGCCTCGTCTCCCGAGGGCGGCGCCTTCTTCTTCTCCTCGGGCAGCCCGCCGGGCCTCCGGCCCTTGGCCGAAGAGGCGGGGGAAAGAGACAGCACCGTGCCCATCCTGCAGAGCGGGGCCGGCGCCCGGGCCCCGGCGGGAACCGCGGGCGGCGCCGCTGCCCGCTGCTGCAGCCCCCGGGGACCCGGCGGTGGGGGCCCAGCCCCGGCCCGGGCGCGGGAACGGGCGGTAGAAGGTGGCTGCTCGGCTGCTCGGCGCCGGCTGCTCAGAGTCTCAGCTGCGCCAGCTGCAGCGTCAGCCCCACCCCTTGGGCCCCGTCTTCGCCGCGCCGCGCCCCGCCTCACGCAGCCAATCCTCGCCTGAGCTGCCCTCCTAACCGGCAGCTCCGCTGCCCAATAGAATCTCGCATGCCAATCTCAAGTCCCGCCCATCCCCCAACTCTGTCTCTGGTCCTTTCCCTTCAAGGGAAAGGGGTAAGGAGGAGGTGGTGGCTGGTTCGAGGGCCTCCTCAGGGTCAGAGCCAGTGGGTGGGGCTGCTCCCACCTAGCCCTCCAGGTCAACTTGTTTTGATGCACTGGATCGCGATAGCAGAGATGCCATGGGAACAGCCTCTCCCCCCTTTTGATTATGTGTTGGGGGGCAGCGTGAGCAGTGAGTGCCTTCATCAAGGGGCCCTGGCCCCAGCTGGGTCGCACTGCACCGGATCGTCCAATCTAGCAGTCGGTCGATTCCCTCTTAGCTCTCCTCCCCTCCATTCCCCCTACAAGGCCCCCTGGGAGGGCTGCAGCAGGCACATTCTTGTTCTGCCTGTGATGGGGTGCTGGCTGGGCCCTGGCCTTCCTGAAGGTCACAAACCGACTCCTTAGGGGTCCTCACTCTGCGGGGTGGCAAGACGCTCAGATTCGTCCCTGAGGCCACCGTTTGCTGACCTGACTCTCTGCTGCTGAGTCTGTGATGAGAGGCCATGAGCTCTGGTCCCTGGGCCACTGCTCTTGTGCTCTTTGCCCCCTCCCCCAACCCAAATCCCCTGATTCCACACTTGGGTGGATGATGGGTGGTTGGTCCCTGGGAAAAGTCTGGAAATTGGTCTGCCCAGGCTCAGATAGCGGATGGGCCTCCTGTGAGAAGGGAGGCCCATGGGCGTTGGTCCCACATCCAGCCCAGCCTGGGTCCAGGCTGAGATGGGTTTTCATTGTTACATGCTCCCTGCCATTCAGGTCCTAGCTGTCCCCGTTCCCAGCTGCACGCTATTAGGCTGGATCCTGCCCGTTTCTCTCTGGGTCTGTCTGTTTCCTCCTCGGCACCCACAAGGCCTTTGTCCTGGATTTGGTACTCTCTGGGCCTTACCTGCACCTCCTGAGCCTAGCTGGTTCTGGGCTGTTCTATCTGCCTTGTAGGACTGTAGAAGGCAGTCTGGCCTCCTCTCTGGCTCCCCAACACAGGAGGTCTTCTGGTTTCTTAAGTGGGCCTTGGAGGTAGGTATGGGTTTCATGGGGGAGAGAAGCCTTGGCCTATGGATTCAGCAGAATTCTCAGAATTGGCCCTGGAGTCACCTCCATGTTCCTCAGAGACCACCAAGACACCTCCAAGGATCCACTGCTGTCAGGGTTGGTACATATGCATGTGTGTACCTAGCTCATTCCAGAGAGGCTATTCCAGAATCAGAGGCACCAGCTCTTCTCAGCTGTCCCACAGGCCTGCCCCTGTGGGGGCCTGTGGTCTAGCTGTATTGATTCCCCACCTCTTTACCACCGTACACCACCATACACAGGCCAGCTTGTACCCCTCCCTGACTCAGCGCCCATCTGTACTTTCTCAGTGGGGTCTCTCCTGCTCCCTTAGATCTGATCTTTATTCTCTCACAGCTCAAGCTGACCTGCCCAACCTCTCATTCTCCCTATAGTTACAGAAGAATGTTCCCTCTTTTCAGCTTCTGTAATTGGCCCTATTTCCTCCTACAAGGCTTTCTGAGTCAGCCTTTATCTGACACCCAAGGAACAGTTGGCTCACCAGTAGTTAAGGACAGGCCCCATAGAGACTGAGGTGCACTGGCAGAGATACCGGGCACGTGGATCTGAATGGCACGTGGGTCCTCCCAGCTCTGATCCCAGGAGTCCCTCACTGACATAAGGCCTATTGCTGGTGTCCTTTAGGACAAGAGTCTATGCAGCACTCACAGATGTCACCACCATGGTATCCCCACTCCAGGCCCAGCAGTGACCTCCTGTTGTCCTCTTAGAATTGAGAGTTCCCTCCTCTGCTTCGGGGTCCCCAAACCAGGTACCTTAAAAGACCTTCCTGCCTCTTCTCACTCTTCATCTTGCCCTGCCTCAGACCCTCTCTCTTCGGCTGACATGCTCACCACCCTCCCAGTCTGGTTATACCTCTTGAAACTCTGAGCTCCTATCACTGTGCCAGGCCCCTCCCTCAGACCACCAACCTGCCTTCGTCAAGCTCTTGAAATTCCATCTCTTCCAAGAAGCTTTTTTGGACTGATTGGGAGGGAACTGATGCCCCTTCTAACATCAATCTTTCTAACCTCTTCCCTTGCCAGCAGCAACTGCTACATAACAACTTAGTTAAGAGCTGGGCTCTGAGTTCCTAGTCAAAGATGTGCAAGATGAATATGGATGGAATTTTAAAGGACAAGCAGACAAAATAATAAAAACAAATCCATAAAGAGTGATGGCGTTTCTTTTACAAAAAATGCTGACAGAATTGAGGGAGGAGAGAGGGAGTTTATATCTCTCCAGGGTGGAGGCCAAGAGGGGTAAGCACAGTGAAACCAGAAAGGCATCATGAGAAGGCAGCCTTTACGGAAGGATAGGGGACTGCCAGGGAATTCCCCAGTTGAGGCCCATCTTTAAGGGAACATCCCCAGGCAATGCTGCTCAGACTCTTCTGCCCATTGGCTGTTTTTATCTTTTTTTCTGAGAGGTCACAGTCTAGGAGGCAGGAGTTTTAGTCCACAGCTTATAAATTGTATGACTTGGGGGAGTCATTTCAGCTCTCTGGGCCTCCCTTTCTTCATACTAAAATGCAGGAATTCTACATATTTTTATTATCAGACAAAAAAAAAAGAATATTGAAGAAATAAGATAATATCTTGGGATTGAACTTAAAAATGATTCCTAAACCCTCTTCCAGTTCTATGATTTTGATTCTAAATAAAATCTTCTCTAAGAATCTGTTTCACTTTGTAGCTCCAGCCCTGTCTGGTTCTCCCTAATCTGTTTCTGCCTGATGGGCTCAGTCTTGTGTGCACAGCATCCATGTGAGGCCTGCCCTTCTGCAGTTCTACCCAGGAGATGAAGGGGAGGGGTGCTCAGGCTCTCAGCAACATAAACCTTCCTAGGTCCCTTCAAGCTTTAGGGGGCCTCTGAAAGGTGGTGAGACAAAGGACAGGATCCCAAGATGGCCAAGTTCCAGGGTCCCCCCAGTAAACATCAAGGCCGGAGGTCCTAGAACTCAAGGTCATTGCATCCCATGTCTCCAAGGGGCCCCTACAAAGCGGGTGATGATAATGTAGATTCTTAAAACAGCCAGAGTAGAGACTCAGCCTGGGCATCTGAATGCCTGGATCCTGCTGTCCCCCTTCCCTGATTCAGTACTCCCACAAAGGGAGAGGATATGCACCAGCCCTCCCTCCCTCTCTGGAGGACCTTACCCCAGGGGAGCTGGGGTGGGGAGGCAGTGGAGGGAGTAGAATCCCTCCCCAGGCAACAGTGGGGAGTGGAGAAAGGGGCTGAGCAGAGAGAAGAGATGAACTTGACAAAGGAGGTGCTGCTGCTAGCTGCCAGGAAGGAGACCCCCATGTTCTCATACCTTTCCCTTTCCAGCAGGCCCCTTGCTAGGAGGACTTAATTGAGGAGCCCAAATATAGATTTTTTAGAACAGAAAATAGGGTTGATAAGCACAGTTGGGGGTGGTGCTCTGGGACAGGGAGAGAAGGGAGCAATGCTGAGAAGCTGGAGGGCCCAGGATTAAGGGTCAGGGGAGGACAAGGGTGAGCCTGGGGCTCCTTTTCCTTGCCCTAGGCTCTGATTCCTTAATAAAGCCTTGGTCTCCCTTCTGGGTTACTGATGCCAGCCCTCCCACATCCTCATACCTGGATATTTTCTCCCCATATCTCTGGCTCCTGCTTTCACCCCGCTTTGTTGCCCCCTGTGAACAGTTCTCTCTGCCCAATCCTTCCAGCTTTATTTCTCAATATATATATAACCTCCAATAGCTTTATTTCTCAGTTCTTCTTCTGCTCCCATCATGCCCCTTTTTTGCCTCCTCCCTTTCACCCCCAACCCCAAGCCACAAGCATCTCTGTCTCTTCCCTGCCCCTGCTGGAGCCCAGCATAGCACTCCAGATGTAGGAGCAGATCAAGGAGGGCGGGGGTGGTGGCTGTTGCTTTTCTAGGATATTCTTAGCCTGTCTGGGGGCTGGAGCTGGAATCAGCGTTTCCATCTCAACCAGGCAGGTGGCTGCAGGAAAGCTGCCACTGCGACTGGGG